ACCCTCAAATCCTATATATCCGATTCATCTTTATGATAAGCGGATACAAACTTGGAAGGTTAATACCATCCGAGATAGAGTTTGATGTATACCCCTGTCATCTATCCTTCTCATCACGTTCAAAGATCCCACCATTGAATTATGCTCTACCCCCAATGTATGGTTTTCTATGCTTAAAGTGATGATCTCCCTTGGAATGATCACTCCACTAGGGAAGCAATTAGGATTTTTCTAAAAGCCAAAACTGCCTCTCTTAGTGATCACTCTTAAGAGAAAGCTTTTTCTTCTCCTTCTCAAAAATCCAAGAAAGGACAAAGAACTTGTTCGAATAACTCTGAAACTTTCTATCAGGTTAATTCTCTATCCAATCAAGATCTTTGTTTTATTGGACAAAGTTTGTCCCATTCTCTGCTTCCTAGATAATGATGTCAATTCAAATATTAACATTTCCCCATATCTCACAACCTCCTATAGATAGGAACAAAATGTTGTTCTTTTAACCCAATGTGATACTCTTTTGAGTATCACACACTCACAGGGTCCATTTTTGAACCATCGAAAATCGACTCCCTTCCCAAACACTATTTTTGCCATTCCTGACCCATGGAAAATGCACCCATATCTAACTCCTCAATGCCCTCTCCAAAGGACACTGTTGACAAACCAGAACCTCCCCACATTCCACTACTATATCTCAAAATTTAGTTATTATTGATTTGGACATATTCGGGTTCATGTGCATTGAAGACCTACTTTTTAGTCCAATCCATTTCCCTTCCTATCAAGAAAAACATATAACCTCCTCATCTCATTTCCTTCAAACGCATGTTCAACCATCAGTCATTCATCTAACGACCTCCTCATTATTCGATCACCTTGTTAACATCAAACAACAATTATGCAACTTACAACAATTGTCGGATAAACAACTTGAAGAAAGCCTTAAGCTTCAAAAAGAAATGGTATCTAGTATGGTTCATTGTTGCATCTCATCCGTTGATCAACTTAACACAAAAATAGATGCTCAAAACACGTTACGTCACACACTTCTTCATAAACCATCCTCTAAAATTCCACTCACATCCCTTTCACTCTTGAAGATCGGAAGAGAATACTCAAATTTGAACAAACATAAGATCATGTTACATCATCTTTTGAATGGCTCGTTAACTTAACAGGTCAAACTCCATCTTCCTATGTTGTTGAGGGGGAGAAAACATACATCTTCAACAACACAAAAAAAGTGGTGGTCAAGCATTCCAATGCAAATGTGGAGAAAAACAAGGAAATTTGAACACACTGAGGGGGAGCACCACCAACATCAGAAGAATTACAAAGGCAAAAGAACGATGATCTTTGAAGAAGAATTTGTGGAGCGAAGACAAAGAAAAAAAACAGCAGCAAGAAGAAATCAATCATCTGATCTTCTTCACCTCCAACCTCCAAAATTTAGCTATAACTTCACGTAAACACTTGCATTATTAAACTTTGGTTCTAATGATATGACATGTTTACATATCGTTTGTCTAGTTAAACCTGTATTTTTTCAACTATATATTTACTTATTATGTCATTTTGTAATTTGATTAAAAAAAGATGGAAGAAAACAAAACAAAAAGAAGAAAAAGCCTTAGAAAAGAAAATGTTGGTCCCAAAGGCTCTACAAGAATACTAAACAGTTTGTAGAAGGGGGGGGGG